TCGAGACGTGAAGCATTACGTCAAGACGTGTCACAAGTGCCAGCGCCGTAAAGTACCACATCAGCGCCCAGTTGGCTTTTTGAAGCCCGTCGCTCCTCCGACACAATTGTTCCAACAAATTGGCATGGATCTACTCGGACCTTTTCCCTGGTCTCGTGACGGCAACTGCTGGATTGTAGTCGCGACTGATTACATGACGTGCTACTGCGAAACGAAGGCATTACAACGTGGCACCACCATTGAGACTGCCCACTTTTCTATGAAAAACATCGTCCTCCGACATGGAGCACCAGCAGTTGTCATAACTGATCGTGACACAGCTTTTACCGCCTGGATGATACAAGACGTCATGCAGCTTAGCGGCACAGTACATCGAAAAACTACTGCATACCACCCACAAAGCAATGGCCTTACAGAGCGACTATACAAGACGATCGCCGACATGCTCTCCATGTACGTTGACCTAGACCACAAAAACTGGGATGACATCGTCTCTTGTGTCACGTTCGCTTACAACACCGCTGTGCAAGAAACAACTGGATTCACACCATTCCAGTTGCTTCACGGCAGGGAGGTCACTACAATGCTGGATGCCATGCTTCTACCAGACAGACACCAGATTAGTGTCAAGATGAACGAATTTGTCAGACTGGCAGACGCAGCTCGTAAGCTTGCAGTCGAACGAATCCATAAGCAACAATGCATCGACTCGCTGCTGTACAACGCTCGTCGTCGCGATGTCTCTTACCAACCCGGAGAACGAGTATGGTTGTGGACTCCCATTCGACAACGGGGCCAGTCGGAAAAGTTGTTACGCTGCTATTTTGGTCCCTATAGAGTTCTTCGTCGTCTCAGCGAAGTCAACTACGAGGTTCTTGACGAGGACATGGCTCGTCAATCCCGCCGTTCACAACAGCCACACGTCGTCCATGTTTCGAGGATGAAACCATTTTACCAACGCTGACTATTCGTCAAACTCCCTTGAGTAGACTTACAGTGATTGTGAACACCCCTTTGTGTACTGCTTGTCGTATGTGCTTTCTTTTCATCTGGTAATTATGTTGTGACATCGGGACGATGTCCTTTGGGAAGGGGGGTAATGCCACTAGTACAAGTTCTGAAAGTATTATTTCCACAGATGCTGGCAGGCTTGTATGTGCCGCTGTTCAGAAGAGGACGAAGATGCGCGTGCAGAGAAAAACAATAGTCATATTGCCGTTGTTCAAATCAGTTTGACGTCCTTGTGTGACATTATCTACAGGTTACAGTTACGGTGTAACGTGACAATATCGTAGCACATTTATAAAGTAATATCCTCATCACACTTAAAAGGGCTGCTTTGCCTATGGTTATCTTGCTAATGTTGTATGTTCTGAAGAGACATTTGAAAATATATGACACTTTTGGAAGGAAGTGTCTTTTAGCTACTGTTTTTACAGGCAGTGGCACAATTCTTGAAAAACCCTGTGCCACTGAGTGTACTGAAATGCAGGTGTACACAAATGGGCTTAGAAGATGCACTAGTCACGTGTGTGTTATACTTAGTACTCAAAGTTAATGTGTTTTTTTTTCCCACATTTTTGCTACCTGAAGACAACCCTCACATTACAATTGTATGCCGAAATTGAAGTAATTTAAAAACTGCATTGACTTTCACAATTATATATTATTTTTGTCTTCCTGAGTGCAGTAAAAAGCTATTCCTCTCGTAACAATTTCAGTGACAAGAGTCGAGTAAATGCGCCGTGTTCCAGTAATGGATGCTGTCCTAATTGTGGGCTTTTTTAAAATCGGCTGTTTCTTGGGGTCACCGGTGGATGCTGACCAGTGCTGCTGAGTTTCCATTCCAGATTTGGAATGATTCCAGAATCATTCCACATTTCCGTGACCCCAAAATGGGAATGAATGGGGACAATGCTTGGAGGAATGGAATTGAAATGGAATTAAGGGCCTTTTGCCTGAAATGGAATGGGAATTAAATTACGTTTTTTACCGAAAATAGAGCACGTTTTCGTCTACGTGCTGTTTTTCAAACTTCGAACATTAGTAAATCAGAGCCGTGACTTTAGCAATAAAGCAACGTTTTTGAAATGGCTTGGCTGATTACAAGCACAATACATTTATAATCAATGCGCCCGCTACAAGTTTGTTTTTATAATGACGGTGCTCCTATGAAGTTTCTCTATTTTTTGCGTGACCGGGGTCGAGCGGAACTACAGCGGCAACATGCCCCCCTCCCTCTTTACCTCTTGTGATTTTTTTCGCCCTTGGCGGAATCCTAGCTACAGTCCCCAGCTGTCTACTGTCTTCATGACGTTTAAGTCTTTGTGCTAGCTTCTGTCATCATTGGACGACTTGAACACATGTTCGATAAAACACTTCTCTAAGTTGTGATGTGTATTAATGCTGGCGTGTTTTGTTGACTGCAGTATAACCTCGTACCCCCCACCCCTCACTTTTGTCCTACTGCCCCACCTTTCTAGACAAATGAGCGCCTTCACCCGCAATTTTTTCGGCGGAGGTCTCTAGGTCAGCGCAGCACGCAGTCGTACAGGATGAACTTTGCACGCTCCCTTTTCGTACTGACAGAAAGAGAAAATGAACTTTTGAAAGCATTGGTTCCGGAAGCCCCCTGAAGCAGGAAAGCCCACGTAACCATGGCCACGGTGCCGTCTCCCCGATTCCCGAAGAAAACTTATCCGTCGAACTAAACGCACATTCGCTCTGTTCTAGGGGGGGAAGGGGGGGCATGTTGGCTGCTAGAGAAGCACTACCACAACGCACTACCACACTGGCTGCTACGTCCAGCAGTCATGCTTGAGCAGCTCATGCTTGTGAAGCACAACACATAGTTATGTAGACGGCAATTGCCTTATCTCTCCATTTTGTAAGACCAACCGTTCAAAGAGCCGTCCAGTCACAGTTCGTGTTTTAAATGTAAACGGCAAATAAATGGTGTAGCTCTTAACATTCGGTTGCAAAATTTCAATGAATTAAATCAAAAGAAAATTTTTGAGCATCTTGTAGTGTTTGCGACTTTTATTGAAGCATTTAAAAATCTCGAGGACGCTTAAGAATTTTTTATGTTGCAAACCTAGTCACCAATGAACTTGTGGCCGATTGGTGAACATGCTCCGAAAACCAGGCGTTTGGGAGATTAAGCCCAGGAGGTCAGACGTTCCTGAAAGCTGAGAACTGGTCATCCCGCACTCCCATATAGCACTGGAGTGTTGTCATTTCATTACTGTTATTATTTTTTTTTGTAACTTCGCTTGTTCCTACGACTCTGCACATATCTGTGTTCGCATCGATAAACAAAGAGGACATAGGGGAGTATTTGTCTACACATTTAATAGCTACTACTGTAATATGCTCGAATTAGACATGTATGGAGTACGGGCTCTATCGAAGTCGAAGGCCACAACACCTTCCCTGGGTCCACAAAAACTAAGGGTAGGCCTGATGTAAAAGTGTGAACATTGTACCGATATGTAAAAAAAAGAAACGGCGACTTAAGTTGGCTTACGAACAAATGCATTATCCCAACAAATACTGAAGGGCGAAACAAATTATTTTCGCATGTTGGTTCCCATAGATACCCCACATGAAAGGGGCGAATACTCTACGCACGGCCTGATCCCCATCTCACGAGTAGTTGGTACCTGACAGACGTAAATAATCTTTGCGACCAGACAAACATTGCATACCTGCACACAGGTGAACACAAAGTTCTCTTCACTCCATCTACGCTTGCTACGCGAGCTTGACAAGCATGAATGCTGACGAGCAGTGCGGCCCTCTGCTTTGTACTAGATGCAAAGGCACAAGGTGCCCGAACGGCGATGCACGGTTCCATTTAATACCAGCAGATATAGAGTTTTGTTCCCATAAGCACATTTTAGATTTCTTCATTATCACGACCGCTCGAGACGCAGCACTGAGCTCTTTAGTCTTCTTGAACACTACTTTTGTCAACATGAAAATAAGCTATGTCATCAGTTTAACATTGACAAGTTCAAGGTGAAACAATTAAAGAATCACCATTTGTTCAAAGATGCTGACCATGCAAATACTTTATGAGCGGCCTAGCGGGAGAACTGCTCCTATGGGAATTACTAGGATGGTTTTACTGCACGAGATATGCTACCAAAATACTAACCCTTGACCTTGGTAACATGTATTTATTGCTTTTGCAGTTCTCAATGCATCTGATGACCCTGTAATTATGGTGTCAATCATTCTCAACTCATTGAAACAATCAAGATGCATTTCCTACATTGAGGAATTGAAAGAATGGAATTGAACGATCCTACCAATCCCGGAGTAAGAATGGGCCAATTTTTTTCATTCCGAGGAATTGAAAGGAATGGAGTTGCGGCAAATCCTAATTTCTGGAATAGAATTGGAATGGAATGGAGGCACCCATTCCACGACATTGCTGTTGACCCAAAGGTTGTGGATTCGACCCCAGCTATGGTGGTCACATTTTTTATGGAGATGAAATGCTAAAGGCACGTGTTCTGTGCAATGTTTGTGTTAAAGAACACAAGATGGTCGAAACATCCGGAGCCCTCCACTACAGCGTCCTTCATAATCATGTCGTGATTTTGTGACTTAAATCCCCAGATATTGTTATATTGGTATCAACAAGCTCACTCGTCATTTCGCATTGTCACATTTGATTGTTGTGTTTCAATGTTTCTTGCATTACTATCGCTGTTGACTGAAGCAACAGAAGCGTTTCACTGCTGAACATGTGGGTAAAGTTCCAGTGCTCAGCATAGGGGAAGGAAAAAAATTAGTAGGTAACATTGGAAAATGCAATAAATTTAACAAAAACATGTTAGCCTAGGTGCACATATACCAAGCTTTGCTTTCCCCAGTTTCACAGTAGGGGACGGACCCCTAATTTTTGTTTTATTTGTCAAGTAGGTCAGGTTTTGTGTGGAGTGTTGCGTTTATATTAGGAACCTAAAGGTAAGCTTGCCATGCTCTTGCAGGTAAGGGATGACCCAGCTCTGCTGAAGGCAACGCTTAAGCGGCACGAGAAACGGCGGCAGCAGAGTCGGAAGAAGTGGGAGTCACGAACCGAGCATGTCAAGCAACGCCAGGAGGAACGTCAACAAAAACGACGAGACAACATCAAGGCTCGCAAGCAGGCCAAACTTCAGACCAAGATGAAGCGGCTGAAGAAAAAGGGCCACATTGTGCCAGGATTTTGAAAAGATGTCAACGTTTTTGGGGTGCATCATATTTTTCTAAAAATTACTGTATTCACATGACCCCTATCTGGTGTTGTATTGACTTGCTCATTATTCTCCTTCATGTCACACTGTAGTATTGCATATTCACATTAATATGCGTGCTGTGCTTTAAAAGGCCCCTAAACCACCCAGATGTTGAAATTCAGTTGTGGTGGAGAAGTTGTACGTGAGTGTACAATGGATGCAGAGCAGTGAGAATTTTTTTTGAAACGGTGCCATAATAGCAAAGTTAGACCCGTGTGATTAATAAAATGTGGCAAACACGGCTTTACTTCGCTACCCTCTGCTGATATCCTTTCTCAAAACCGCTTTGCCCTCTTGCCCAGCACCCCTCCAAGTGTTTGCCGCGCTTGTTCGCAAGAGCCTCAACTACTGATTGAAAACCATTTTCTTACCATGTCCGAAAAATGCTGCTTAAATGGTTGGAAAATGCTGCAAATCGGCGGTCGACGCTCCTGCGAGCATGCCAAGCATTGGATTGTAATTTTTCTGCCACACAACACATGGAAGGGAATTCACAGTGAAGTTTGATAGTTCACTGGAAATCGCTTCTCCATCCCTAAAAAAAATGATGCCATAGACTTCATTTAGGCTGCGTCATGAGCTTGCAGACATGGCCATTAGCTCATTTGAGCATCGGGATCTGCAGTGTTATCACAGCCGCCGCTGGGTGCTGCCTTGTAATCATGCTGTGCTTTAAAGGGCTAGAATTGCACCCTAGCGTGTTCGTTATCACGCTGAATGTGGGCCGCACGTTTAAATAAAGAAACGAAAGAAGGTGATCAAGGTCACGGCACACGTGTATGTAAGGACATGGTTTCTTGTCTCTTGTCACCACTCCTGTGTAGCTTTCAACGTACTAGTGACAAAAAGTGAGAGGAAGTGCTTAAAGCATGTGCCATATCTCTGCAACTCCAATCATATTTGACAGGTTTTAAAAGTTTTTGTGTCAGTCAATTTATAAGGCAATATGCTTTGATACTGAGGTCATTCAATGAGTAGCAAGAAAAGTGCTGCAGGCCCTCTTTAAAGTGGTACTCCGGCTTGTAATGTGGAACTCTGGTTGGGGGGGGGGAGAGGAGTAGTGATGGAAGAGTCCATTTGTTACTCAGCAACAGCTTGGAGTCGCGTGATAGCTGAAATGTCATGTATAGCACAATAACCATACTTATGCCTGGCCTTGCAGAGATTTGCCTTTCATTTAAATTGCAGAGCAGTGGTGTGATGCCATACGTGATAGTTCTGTTCATATAGTCTAACATAAAGCTGTTTATGTTCACATAGACCCCCCCTTCCCTCACACACATACTCACTTTGTAGCGAGTGATGTTACTAGGTCACAAACGCACGGTGGCCCCCATTCAAGATTTTAAGATTTATTTATCTGAAGCACATGCATTATGCAGATAGGGAAGGAGGTCTGAAAGTTGCAAGATCGTGAGTGAGACTTATAAAACCAGAGAAATTTGCTATGTTAAACAGTGGTAAGAATTAGAAAGATAAGCTCCAGAATGTGTACAGGTAAGCCAGAAAAAAAAAAGAAAACATTTGTAATAAAATACAAGTTTTATTATTATGAATAACGTAAGGAATTCATATATTCAGCAAGTGTGAATGCAATACTTAAAAAAAATAGAATGATTTATTCTTTATAACCCAGCTTACAACCTGTCTTTAAAATTCCTTTTCAGAGAAACCAGGACTGTTGCAGTTGTATATTGCTGGCACTGATTATCATAAAATAAGCTAGTTGGGCATCACACCTCGATGAAGCACAAGATTGCGATCAAACAGAAATTAAACCGTTTCCGTGTGTCGGTGCTTACAGTAAAGATAATGACAAGGTTCACCTGTTTTGCTGAGACCAGCGTTACGGCATGCTAAGCACATACACCTCCTCAGCACGAATGCTCAAGCGAACAGCAAAATTCCGAACCCTATTAAGGCACCAGCAAAGAAACTAAGCAAATATTGACTGTGCCATAGAGTTTCTTCCAATATTTGTATAAACTTTGTTTTAGGTCTGCGTCCAATCAAGACATCTTCATTTTTGCTGCCTAACGCGTGCTAAACCACCATGCACTGCTGGCGCATGCGCTGTCGTTGCCGAGTCGGTGTTGCGGCGTGCGTAATCCTTCAGTGCCTCCTGCTGTTGCAATAAAGCTGCCGTAGTGAATGGTCCCTTGGATGGTGCCTTACTACACCATGCAATAAAAAGTCACGTTCTCGCCACAAGGATGAAGCAATGAATGCTTTAGCAAAAATATAAATGTCACACGAAGAACGACATTTATATTTTGCCTGCGTCTATTTCTGCGTGCAGAAATAGTGCCCGCGTCTATTTTCTGCGTGCCCCTAGCGGAAAATGTCGGCGACTTTGAGACTGAGCAGGTAAGCAACGCAGCTCCTTCTGGTCGGTGGCCGGTGCCTATATAAGCTCCTTTGAGATGTGTGTACCGCCAGTAAAGATGAAATACACTTTATTTGGTCCTGGAAAAACCGCTCAGGCACCCTTCGAAAAGGATTCTGCCGCCATTAGTGGCCACGTTCATGGCGATTCCGGTAGTGACCATGGCTCTCTACCTGTTTGGAAGCCTCCCAGAGTGCCGAAAGCTAGACTGTGAGCTCAGAGCTTTGAAGAGCCCTCTCCGTGAGCCCAGTGAAGGCACTACAATCATAATTGAAGTGGCAACAATCGCTCAAGGCAGCTGCATCAGTGAACCATCAATACCCAGTGAACCGCAAGTATTGTGTAGACATCCATGGTATGTTTCTCGTGGAGATTGCAAATGTCTCTTAGATGTCCAGAGAAATCGAAGTTACGAAGATTAGATGTAGCCGCAACTATGAAAAGCTCGGCCTAGTAAGGTTGCAGGTACATCAGATGGACACTGAATGAACATCGAATAGATATACATAGACATTTTCATTGAGTAAATAAAAAGTTTTTGATGCACATTGCACACTTACTGCACGTACTTGGTGTCTTAGACCTGCGGTCCCACGGCAGTCTTGCTCATTTCCGCTCAACTGTACTTCATAGAAAGCATCAAATGCATGAGGCTTGCCGAATTGATCATATGAAGGTTTAACGTTCCAAAACCACCACATGAGAGACGCCATAGGGGAATGCTCTGGAAGTTTCAACCACAGAGGGTTTTTTGACGTGCACCCGAATCTGAGCACATGGGCCTACAACATTTTCGCCTCCATCGAAAATGCAGCTGGGACTCGAGGCTGGGATTCAAACCCGCGACCTGGTGGTCAGCAGCCAAGTACCTTGACCACTAGACCACCGTGGCGGGGCGAAGCTGGTCCTACTGCTGTCAGACGACAAATTTAAGCTCAGGATCACGGACGTGTTGATGCTTTCTGTAAGTATAGCACACCAACTAAGAGGCAAACTGCAGTGAGGTCCCTAGCACACAAAACTATACATGTAGCAAGCCTGAAAGAAGGGCGGAGCTGGGGTTACGTCTGCTTTGTTTCTCTTGACCTTTCCCCTCTCTTTTCTATTTTTTTCAGTTTTTCTGTTTTATTTTTCTCTATTTTTTAATCTGTTTCTCTTGCCCTTTCTATTTTTCTTCCTATTTCTTCCTTTTCCGTCTCTATTTCTCACTTGCTTCATCTTTTCCATTTTTCTTGTGGTTTTGCATGCGTTACGCCAAGCGGCAACAGCCCTGGTCCCTAGAGTGCTTCACACTTGAAAGCACCTTTGGGCTGCATGATTTCGTGCTATCATGTACAGCAGCACTAACGTAATGCAAGTTAATTTGATGGTCGTTTGCGCGTTTTATCTCCTCGCGCATGTAAGTGTATTCTTCACGCACGCTCGAACGTTACATATCCATTTATGTCCGAGCACTTTCTAGACTTTACATGCCAGTATATATTTATCATTCTAAACGTCAACTAAAGTGGTTTTGGAAGAAGAAAGATCTGTGATGCATCTGATGTTGAGAGCATGTATAGGCGACATCATTTGTGACGTCTAGTTTTTGTCTAAGATAGAAGTGCATACAACGTTAATAATACGTAGGCTCTCTAGACTGTAAGGATGGCACATTATGGGGATGTTGATTAGATGTTATATTATTTCTACGTTGAGAGGATATCGGTGGTTCACTGCGGGTACCTTTATGAGAAAAAAAAGTTGGCGTATTAGAATTCTTCGGAACGTGGTGTTCCAAGGTGATCACGTGGTTTCTTGCAGCCTCCTCGTTTTGTTGATTTTTTTGCCTGTGTTCTTGAATAAGCATGTGATCTTATCTTTTTGTGTAACATATACATGCGTGCGTCAGAGTATTAGTGAACCAGTTGAACGTCTGTTCTGATCCTCGTCTCTTTTTGTCTAAATGTTTGCACTAAGCAGCTCAATAATGAAATGGAAACTGGCCCAATCACACACTTTACTCTCTCCCATTCCTATTATGTGCTGTACTTCTCGCTACGTAACGCCTCTCTTTCTTCCTGCTCCTCTCTCTACCTCTATACCTTTAAATCCTCCTTATCATTTTTAATCCTTTCTTACCCGCGTGAATGCGTGGTAGAGCGCTCCGAGATGCCTTTCAAGGTTATGTTGAACAATGGAGGCGAAATGACGGCTCCCTAAGGCGTATCCCTCGCACCCAGGGTGAGGGCTGCCGATGTGATTTCCGGAACCTTTATGGTTGCTTTGTGGTCCCTGAGGAAGGCTAGAACATGGGCGTGAAACTTTTGTCCCAACCCTATGCTCTCGACCGCCTCCAGGTCGAGCTCATATAAAATTGTATCAAATGCCTCGGCAAAATCACGAGTCAATAACATCTCGGGCTGCTTGGTCGATCATTTGCCTCTTAATCAGGACCGTCGCATCCTTGGTCGTGAGGCCCGGCTGGAAGCCTACCATGTTGTGTGGAAAGAGCTCTTTATCGTCGCTATGTGAAAAGATCCTGTTGTGTACCACATGCTTCATCACTTTACCACGTAAGACGGGAGTGAGATGGGACGGAGGTTCTCTTTCGCGAGCGCCTTGCCTGGGTTTGAAAAGAGTACTACCGATGCAGTTCTCCAGGCCTCCGGCACGTGGTGTTCTATCCAGGAAAGCTAAACCTCCTTGGTTAACTCAGCAATGACCCCGATGGAATTTCAAACAGGATGCTATGTATCAATATTGGAAGTGGCATACATAAATAGATTGCCGTTATACCGCCGGTACATGCATGGCGCGTAATTGAGCTTGTCTAACACAGCGCGCTGCGGAGTGAGGGCTCGAAGGTTCGAATCTCCAGT